CCAATATGGGTATTAAATGAAACGGATAGATGAGTGAAGCACAATAAGTAAAGTGACGTAATTCCAAATCCAATATGGCGGCCGCTACAAATTGCATTTTTGTCGGTAACCTCTTTAATGCAGGTATGACATGAAAAGGCTTAATGGGAACATTCTGAAAAACATGCTTTTATTAAGCCGTCAATAAAGATAAAACTTGAAAATATTTTAATTAAGCCCCTTTGTCTGAAGCTTTCAAAGACATGTTACATTTTGACAGAGGGAAAAATTGCGTCAAGTAAATTGACTCTATACTTCCTACCCCTTCGTTTCAAGTGTTTCAAATAAAAGGGATGAGTCAAGTGGTTTCAAAAGGCACTTAGGTAGTGTGCTTCGACATCTGCGTTTCATACTATATAGAGCAAATCTATCATATTTCTGTTTCCATGGCAGATGTGGGGAAATATATGTGACTTATTATGTCTTACAGGTGCATCGGATCACTGGGATGAACAGCTCCTTCATAATCGAAGGTCTTTCACTGACACCAAATATGCAACAATTTACAACCATTCACCGTTGTAACACTATGTTCCAGCGATTTTATTTCCGCCGCCTCTGAATCAATTTTCAAAATCTACGACTACCTAAACGATGGAAGTATTAAACTCGCTATAATGTTCGAACTTCGGTTTACAAATTTTCTGTTGCTTATAAATCTGCTTCACACAAGTCTGTGATTCGCATGTATGTCGTCCGTGTTTGTTGTTTATCATTACGTCATAAGTACTGAGTCAATCTACTTGCTGAAATATTCAGAAAACCATCATACACGGAATCATTGCACAGTCGGCAGAATCACGCCGAAACGCCAAAGAAAACGTACAGTATATTCAGATAAGAGATAGACCGGACATAAACAAGACCACGTGATCATCGAACGCTGTAACATTCGGCAGGGACGTATTAAGAGTCACGCAGTACATATTTTAGATTGTAGATGCTGCTTTGCGTAACTTTGTAGTAAATTAGCACAATTCGATGTGTATACGATTGGTGATGGATATAGGATCATGTGGGGGTGGGGTAAGAAATATATAATGATGTAAATATACATAAGGGTTTCAAAATTTTCGCTTCGATTTCCAGCTTCGGATGCCGCCTGATGTTTGGTGAAATACAGTCGAATATAATCTCAAAATGGCGTTTAAATTAGCCTAAATTAAAAATAATCGTATATCTCTTAAAATTGCTTTTAGAATATTGATTAGTATATTTTTTGATTTCTAGGTAAATATGTAACCAAATTAAAACGTTCAAAACGTAAAAAAATGTGCATGGTTGAACATTGTCAGAAAGTAGATTCTTGAATAGGTTTTGCCAAAATGGGTTCAAAATGTCAATAATTAATTAAAAAATACAGTAGCTTTATAATTACTTATAACTTACCGAATTTGATGAACGACATCTTTTATTGGAAAGATGAGCTTGATGAGCTTTCATCATCGCTACTGCCTGAAGCACCAACGTCAGTAATGAATGGCTCGACTTGTTCCTCTAAAATATTGTCCAGTTCCCACATTCTCTTTTCAACTTTGTCTTTCACGTGCTTAATACAGTTTTCCCATTTTTGCGCTGTTATTAATTCTAGTGCTTCTTTGAAAAGTCCTTTGAGGTCACAAAATTTAAAAGTTGTATTGTGCTTAGCTATATAATTTTTAACCTCTGCCCATATGAGCTCAATGGGATTGAGCTCGCAATGGTATGGAGGTAAACGGAGCACAGTTTTATTTTGACTTGCTGCCATTTCGTCAATGGCGTATTTTTGATATTCCGCCTTGTGATCCTTGACAATTCTTAATAATTGTACTTTCAGCATTGCTTCTTCAAAGTTGATATTTTTCGAGCGGAGCCAATTTTGAACATCAACTTTCCTTGAAGCCGTTGTTGGGACCTTCTCCATTCTTCGAGAATGATAAGGCGCATTATCCAACACAATTACTGCGTTTTCCTCTAAGTTCGGTAAAATTTTTGAAACCACTGTTCAAACGATTCGCCATTCATTTCCTCGTGGTAATCTCCAGTTTTCTTAGACTCAAAGCACCACAGACCGTCAACAACAAATCCATCCTCACTGCCAATATGGCAGATAATGAGCCTTTTCCCTTTACCTGGAAATCGAAGTACTAACTGGTGTAGATTTATTTCAATAAGCGAACCTTTTTCAAATGTTTTCATCACATTCAGCGAAAAAACATTGAGACATGAGTATCAAATTGCTATAATTGGGATTATTTAGTCATATTGAAAGAAAGAATATTGAACGTCGTTTGATTACTCAGCGCTTCACAATTTAATTTAAAGTTATAAACCTTTAAAAAATGAATGATCAGGAACCTGAAATACGCGCAAATATTAATATTAACAAATTATAACTTTATAAAGCTTAAAGTATGAATTAAAATGATTAGAAATATTAGGAACGGTACACAATAGAAAACTTAGTAACTTTTTTTAAGTTTATAATATTCGACATATTTTAAGATTATATTAAAAAATTATTGAAATATCGAAAACACATAAAACCATGGCTTAAAAAAGTTCTAACAAATGAAAATGACAATAAAACATCCACGCATTTTATCGAAAGTTATAAAAGTTTTGTTACTTGTAATATGTTTTATCTGCCCCCTGGAATTAATGTTTAGAACCTTGTTCCCAAGGTTTGAAAAACATCCGATTGTTGTCTATTACTCGTATTTACCTGCTGGATTTTTTAATCCGGTGGACAGTCCATCTAGAAATGCCCTCCTGGATAAAGTTACAGAATCATCAACCCATACTTTACTTGTAGTGTGTCCTGCGTTTACCCACGTTTCATCAAGGTAATAAATCTTCCTGTTTTGATTTCTATATTTCCCAATTTTTGTTAAATAATCCCTCCTCCATAGCACAATTTCTTCTCTATCCAGTAGTAAACTATTACGACCCCGTTTTTTCCATTTGAAATTTAAATGCTTCAATAACGCATGGAAAGTTCGGCAGTATCTGTACTACTGGGCATTTTGCGCAAGCAGTTGATAACAATAACAATCAATAACAAGGTATAACAATAACAACGACAAACTCAACAACTTAATAAAATAACAATCGAAAACGTCTAAAGAAATATCAAATTGCAATGATGCACACGACATACATAACACGTCTGAACCTGAATGTGACTCTGCCTTGATACGACTGCTCTGCCGCTCGGCATAGGCATTTAATTGCGAATTGACCAATGAGGGCTCCTGTTTTACGTCGAGACGGCGGCGTTAGCGTGAAAATCACCCGAACCTTTTGTTTACATCCGGTCTATCTCTTATCTGAATATACTTTAGATTTAGCGTTTTTTATTCTTGGTGTGTTTTCGCCCCTAGCCGTTACCACCGAGGATACAAGGCCCGACAACAGACGCGAGACGTCACCACGAGTAGGCCGGTCGGCCGGCCGACAGCACAGCGTGCCGTACATCAGCGCTAGTGAATAATATATTATTGCAGCATACTTAATATAGTCTACCTGATTTAAATAACAGATAATTCAGAAAAGTGTTTTTGGTATATGAAGGCAACTTGGTGGAAAATATTAAAGTAGTTATTAACTATTTTCACCCTGATTTTCACTGATATTTCATCCAACATTACGTGCACATTAGATTAATAAGTTGATGCTATAAAAGCTTGCTAAAATGATAAATTCTTCAACGAATAACCTCATGTTATAATATAATGGTACACGAAAATTATATAAAAAATGTAGTGCTTGTAGAACAATCGTGTCCAACAAGAACCAACGAGAAGGTCTGAGGTAAGCTCTTGCCTGGAAAGGAATACGGAAGATGAGGAGGAAAAGGTGTAGGATAAATGACAAGAAAAACAGATAAAATCAAAGTAAAATAAACAACAGAAAAAACACAACAAAGTTTAACGAAAACTTAATAAAAACTCTTAGAACAAACAAATAACAGCACAAAATAATAACAAAAATTAGAAAACAGGAAACAAGTATCAAAAATAACAAAAATTAGAATAACGAAAATTAAAGTGCTAAATTCTGAATATGTACAAATAAACATTTATCTACAACTATGTAAATGCTGCGGCCTCATGTGAATGTAGTCAATTCACGTTTCTTTGCTTTATTCGCGCTTGCAAAGATGTCGTTCCTTAAGGCACGATAATTTTTCAAAAATGTATTGACTGTGCAAATAACAATTAGTTTTATAACATAATCTCGTGAATGGACTGTGTATCGCAAAAATGAAGTGTCGTGATTATTATCACTCAGATTGTTAATTATCTACTGAGAAAGAGCGCGTCTCTTATCGGTGATTTCTAAAAATAATTCCTCATCACTTTCCAAAACTGGATCCTTTGGAAATTTTAAGCCACAATGATCGCAGTGATTTTTCTTTAATAAGGCATAGCAACAGTAACCAGCTAACTAGGTGATGACAGGGATTTCATCCCTTATACTATCAATATCAGACTGTAAAATTTCAATTTCCCGGAAAAAGAGGTAATCATTAAAATTGGGTGGAATTTCATCTATTTATAAATCATAATTTTCATTTGTATATCACCATAGCGTGACTTCAATGACATCAGGCTTTGAGTTTGTAACTTTTTCTCAGATTCATATAACTGACGATGCATTCTCAGAGAGAACATGCAGAACATCATCCAAGTGATGTATATTAGATAATAAAAATGGAGTTTTAGTATTACCTGAGTTGAGTAACAATTCTTGGGAGTAAATATACGTTTTTACATTGAGACGTTTATCAACAATTACAGAGTGAGTTATGATGGGTGCTGGTTTATATTCTAACTTAAACAAAGTAACTTTATCCTGAACAATTTTATGCCACCCATATGGACATTGCCATGAACTGAAAACTGTGAGAAAGTCTGAATAATTTTGAAAACAAGTTGATTTTTGATAGGAGGAATAATCATCAATGCTAGTTTGCAGTGCTTCAAGTAGTTGTTCTTGTTTCTTGTCCCTCAATTTCTCATCTCGGCTTCTTCTGCTTGATATGTCCTTTGAAAGGAATTTTGGACAATTTGCAAATATACTTGGAATTACATCTGCCTTTAATTTTGGATACTTAAGGGGTACAGTAATGGTCCTACCTGTCTTTCCGTCATGGAAGATGGATTCCCAAATGATGCTGTCCTCAGCAAGGTGCAAATTACATACTCCGGTGTATTTTGTAACCACTAAATCACTACGAGGGATTGCATTGAGCCGTCTTTTACGACAGTTTTCGTTCAATGGAAACGAAAATACGTGTACCTTCGGACCCTTCCCGTAATTACCGACACAATTAGGAACGCAGCACTTGTAAGGCATTTTGAAAATTTAGCTAAACAATCGCGAGACACAAATATAAGTTTAAAACATCAATAATGTCCAGTTTACATAGCATAGAAAGATGAGGCTCAGAATGTGAGGTTAGTTGGCAAGGTTGCCAAATATTCCAATTTTGAATGGAATATTAGACTTCACAAGTGACAGATTGAACGTAATATCGAAAATGTATTCTTGACATACTGAGGCAGATCAGAAAGACTAATCACAGCATCACTGAAGCTGCGCAGGCCCCGAGCACATCTTGCAAATTCGCCCACAGAGAGGTACAACTAATTAGTACAGATTTCGATACTGCTATATCAAACCTAGATATGAGAACACCCCAGAGAAATGGTGGCGCAGTTCTCTTGCCAGCCAGTCATCGCGAAACTCGATAAGAACATGCATAGGCCTGCGTGACGTCACAGGCTTTTCAGAGCCCAGTTGTTTGGTCTTGTACTTTCGGTGGTAACGCACAAGCCCTCCATCATTGCATCGATTTTCAAAAACTACAAAGCTTTTTGGTCCTTCGCATACTAGTAATCTTGTGTGAAAATGTTATCGTAATCCGAGCGGTTTCCCAAGTCATAGGCGTTATAAAATTAGCGGGCAGACTGACAGACAGACAGACTGACGGAAATGAATGACATGGTTTTTCGTGATGTTACAATACTTCCTCGCTAGCTTTGACATAGGAAGTAAAAGGGTGTGACACGCTTTCATTTGAATTAGTACAAAACGGCATATTTCCAATCGAAAAAAGGTACTATTTTACTTCTCTTTTTTAGTGGTTAAATGCTTTTAAAACTTTTTTCTCTTATTTATTGGTCATATGCCTATGAGAACGTGGATCAAGCTGAAACCTTTCCACATTTCTACTTATCCTTGATTCGCGGTCAACTGAAACTGAGTGTTTACCGACCATCCAAGCTTACGGGAACATGTTCGTTAACAGATCAAGGGCGGTTACAGTATCACCGTCGAAATGGTATCGTCTACCATATTCCCGATTACATCACCCAAATTTATTTGCTGCCTTTATCGCTCTCCCTCGAAACATAACTGGGATGACCTACTCGAATACCTCGCCGTCCAGACCGACTTCCTGAACATCAATCACCCCGCTTCAGAGGTAGTTCTTCTCGGTGATTTCAATGCCCATAATGAGCTTTGGTTGGGCTCAAATAAGACCGATGCAGCAGGTCGGGCAGTCGAAACGTTCGCTCTTACTCAAGGGCTGACCCAGCTGGTGACGAGCCCTACTTTTTTCCCCGCGTCTCGTCACACGCCAGTAGCCTGCTGGATCTCTTTCTGACCACGCATCCTGCCCCTTACAGCACTGCTGTCCTGTCCCCCCTGGGTAACTCAGATGACGGTGTTGTGCAGGTTAGGTTTCGGTCAGAAGCCGCTGTGGCAGCAGAAACTCGCACAGGCCGCAAAACTTGGCATTACGGACATGCCGACTGGGAGGGGCTCAGAGACTTCTTCTCTAGCTTTCATTGGAGAGATGTCTGTTTCACTGACGCGGATGCGTCCACTGTCTGTTCTTCAATAACCGAAATTATCCACGTCGAAATGGACGAATACATCCCTCACACAGTGAAAGTTCCAAAACCAGGGTCCAACGGCTGGTTCAACAAATCGTGTGACACTGCTCGCCAGCAGAAGATCAAGGCCCACAGAACCTACTTACAAAACCCCACTGTAGAGAACAGACAATCCGACGTCGAGTCCAGAAACAAATATAACGAAGCGGTTCGCAATGCCAAAAACCAGCATGATATAAAAGTTAGGCACAAGGTAATGGTCGCAGCGCAATGGCAGTCGGTATTTCTGGACGCTGGCCAAGCAGATTGAAAAGAACTTCTCACACAGTAGCCTTCCACCACTTATAGTACGTGTCAGGATGGAACTATTGTATTCGACTCAAAGGCCAAGGCGGAAGTGCTAGCCAAGATCTTTGCTGCCAACTCCACCATGGACGTCCCCACCAACGCCCAAGTGCATAAGACCGTAAGACGAGTGCTCTTGTCGCTCGACATCAACAAAGCTTCTGGTCCGGACTTGATTCCTGCCATTGTACTGAAGAGATGTGCAGCGGAGCTTGCTCCAGTTCTTTCGCGTCTCTTCCAGATATCTTATGAATCCGGCACCTTCCCAGAAAACTGGAAATTTGCTCATGTACAGCCCATCCCAAAAAAAGGATCTAAAACCGACCCTTACAACTACAGGCCTATAGCTCTGCTTTCTGTTATAAGTAAAGTGATGGAGAGGTGCATAATTCGCGAACTTCTAGACTACCTCGAACGTCACAGCTTGATTAGCGACAGGCAGTACGGTTTCCGGCACCAACGATCCACAGGGGACCTCCTAGCTTACGTCACGCAACTGTGGAGTAAACTCATCCAGTCTCATGGTGAGGCTCATGTCGTTGCTCTTGACATCACGAAAGCGTTCGATCAGCTGTGGCACGCTGCCCTATTAAGCAAACTTCCATCCTACGGCCTCCCAGAAAAGCTTTGCAGATGGGTGGCTGACTTTATCTCTGGCCGCAAGATATCCGTCGTAATTGACGGATTCTCCTCTTCATCCCACAACGTCAACGCGGGTGTTCCCCAGGGATCGGTCTTGGCTCCAACACTGTTTCTCTTACATATCAACGACCTCTTTTCCTGCACGATCAACCCAATCCACAGCTTCGCTGATGACAGCACTCTACATGCAGGAATTCAGAGTGACAAGCCGATATCTGCCGCTGAGCTGGAAAAAAGAAGACTAGCGACAACTTCTTCTCTGACAAGAGACCTGGAGGCTATCACTGCTTGGGGACGCAACAATCTTGTACAGTACAATGCTTCCAAAACACAGTACTGTACTTTGACGAACAAAAAGCGTCCTAGCGCTCATACAGTTTCGATGGACGGTCGAGTTCTACCAAAGAGCCATTCATTTCGGCTGGTCGGAGTCCAGATCACCGAGGACCTGATCTGGCACGAACACATCTCTTCAATAGCTGCAGCTGCTGGGAAAAAGCTAGGCTATTTGTTTAGGGCTAAGAAGTACTTTTCTCCGCATGACCTTCTCACTCTATACAAGGCCCTGATAAGGCCTAGCCTCGAGTATTGCTCACACATTTGGGGTGCTGCCGCCCCGACTACATTGTCCTTGCTCGATGCTGTCCAGAGGAGGGCGGTCCGACTGATCGATGACTCTTCTCTAACAGACAGTCTCGGGACTCTTTCGCACCGGCGGGCCGTCGACGATCTAGCTCTTTTCTATCGCTACACCAACGGGCTTTGCTCCTCAGAGCTGTCTTCCATGATGCCGCTGCGCGATGTGCCTGCCAGACAGACCCGCCTGACTTCGGCGTCCCATCCTAACCGTGTCAAACTTCGTACATCCAGAACTGGCCGATACGACCGCTCCTTTGTCCCGAGGGTGTCTAGATTGTGGAACAATCTACGGGAGGAAGCTTTTCCCAGTTCTACTAACCTTAGGCAGTTCAAAGGTCGTATTAACAAAATTTCTTTGGGATCATCATAGCAGCCGCGGTGTTCCGGCATTTAGGCTTCTTTCTGCGCGGCTGTTTCGATATAAAAAAAAACACCCCCACATTACCTAGGTATATGAAGTTTCATTCAGTTATATCTAGGGTAAACAAAAATGAAAAATTTTTATCCTACGGAGTGTTGATATTCCTATGGGAAAGTCACTCTACATACCTGTGGCGGTTTGGGTGTGTCTGCAATGACGCAAAAAGATCCATCACCAAAAAATTTTTGCTACCAGAAATAACATGTTCAATCCCTAAAATATTATAATTCATTCGTTCATATGCATTTATTTACTTATTTACAGACACATTACTACGGCTAATAAAAATGCAAAACAACTCATCACGTATACCAAAAATTACCATACCCACAAAAGGTTAAGAAACAACAACGTCACTGACACTTTCTCAGTATTTTGTTGCATTTTTCTGCATTTAGTCTAATCATGCTAGTTCCAATAAAACACGGCAAAATCTAAACATGCTGTTTTCATCCATTAGACCAAAGACAGCCAACCAGAGCTGTTGCGTGCTCTTTGGCAACTCATTAGTATGGTCTAGGCTTGGACTCTGGGACAACGAACGAGAGCCTAGCAACTATCCTCTATCCAAGGTGTGAGATCTACCGAAATAAAACAGTGCAAAGCTCCATCTGTTACCAGAATCGACCAATGCGAGAGTATATACAGGGTGTTTCAGTTTATTGTTGCATAACTTTACGATTCGATAGAACTTTTAAAATTAATGCATAAAGTCTATATAAACATGGGTCGAAAAATGCGTGACTTCCGAAATAAATTTACTTTCTAAAATAGTTTTTTTTAAATATTTCGAACAATATTTGATGTATAACAGTGAAAATTGGTATACAAGGGTTTTTTGGTACGACAAAACGAAACATGGGCATAGTTTTACTGTAGCCGCTAGAGGGCGCTCTCTACTGTACCTGTAGTGTATTAAAATGACCGAAATTTTTTTCTTAGTGCAATTTTTTGCTTTTTGAATAAAAAAAGTCATTCCTCGCACTTTTCAACATAAAAAAGCTCTCTTGTGAATTTTCGTTATAGTTAGCCGTTTTTGAGATATTTCGATTTTTAAGGTTCGATGCATTTTTAACTATTTATGATAAAATAACGTTAAAAAGTCAGTATCTCGATAATTTTTAGAAGTAGGCTGTGCCTGCAAATATTTTTGAAATTGAAAGCAGAATAAGGTTAAACGTCAATTAGTTGACAGTTAGTTTTGTTGTCTGTTGAAACCTGAAACGTTTTTTTGCAATTGTGAATGCACGAAATTTAGTTTCTTTACCTGTTTTTTTTTTGTAAGTTTTATAAAAATGCCATTTTTATTCTCCAATCAATAGCAGCAGAAGCAGCCAGAGAATACGCACGAAGATTTCCAAACAGTCGACATCCAACTCGCTCAGTATTTGTAAGAGTGCATCGCCAAATAATTGAAAATGGTTTTGGAAATCTCTAAAGGGATCAAAACATAAATGTTCGTCAGCTCAGATAGATTTACCCGTATGATTCTGCGTGAGTTTGATAGAGATCCGACCACCAGTGTTAGGAGAGTTTCTGGTGCCTTGGGAATTTCAGCAAGCCATGTTCACCATGTTCTTAGACATGACCATAGACGTCCTTACCATTTGCAACCTGTGCAAGGACTACAGCCAGGAGTCA